TTTCTTTGGCCAGTTTGGCTGTGCCCCCTCCCAGCTTCTTGTGCACCTGCAGCCTTCTCAGTCAGTAGAGCATGGGAAGCTAAAAAGTCCTTGGCTAGTGTAAGCATTACCTAGCAACAACTAAAACATCGGTGCGTTATCAACTTTGTTCTCATCCTAAATCCAAAACACTGTACCAGCTACTAGGAAGGAAATTAACTCTATCCCTGCCGAAACCAGGACACACAGGAAAATTGATCAAGGTTATGGGAAGCACAGAAGGGCAAAGTGAACACCTCGTAGGTCTGTCCTACTTGCACTGGTGTAACAGCCATCCAATACCCAGGCAATAGTATGATACCTTCCTCGTGATGAATGTATAGTGCGAGGGGGAGGCGGGGTGGCGGCACATATTGCTATGTATCTGTTGTAGGCCATAGCAGCCAGTAGAAGGCATTCGATGCTGTCCAACAAAACCGGGAAATACAGCCGGGCAGCACAGCCAAGGAAGGCGATCCTGCCATCTTCCATCAGAAAAGCCACTAGCTTTTTTGGCAGAGTGAATGACGTGTAGCACATCTCCAGGAAGGACAAGTTCCTCAGGCAGAAACATATTGGGCGGTGGAGGCTTGAGTCCACCACTGTGATGAGAGCAATCAGCCTGTTCCCTGTGAGGACCACGAGGTAAATGACCAGGAGTACTATGAAGAACATGCCCTGCAGTTTGGAGTGGTCAGAAAATCACAGAAGAATGACTCCAGATCCAGCAGTGTGATTCTCCAAGCCTGTTCTTTTGCGCATCTTCCCTAAACAGAGCAATTCAAACAACAGGCTCTTAGAGGATTCTCATGGCCTGTCCACCGTCACACAGGCATCAAGCCTAGAGAAAGATTACAAAGATCAACTTATACATGATAGCAGGATTAGGCGAGATGGACAAAGCTCTGCATTAATTTTTGGAAAGCTAACATGAGTTGCTTGCTGCAGGGAGGTTTGTAAAGACAGGGAAGAACAGAATCCTTGAGCCTGAATCACTTGGTTTTGTCATATGTATAAAAGAAACTTGACTTTCCTTCTTAGAGCTGATTTTATTAAATAGAATACATGGTTACAGATGAGAAAAAAAGAACAAAATGGATAAATACTATCCCCTTTAACGACAGTCTTGCTTACGTTCCTTGTCTAGTTCTTGTGA